CAGGTATTGATGGACTGTGAATTTCTTCGGAAGTCTCTCTGTTATTAATGGATCGCTTGAGGTGTAAAAGATGGTTATGTCTACCTTTGCAACCGTTAATACCACATCTTCCTTTTTTGTTGCATCTTTTGAAAGTATGGCCGTCTTGTAGACAGAGGAAACATAGTTTTAAAGTTAAAATACTTTGCCGACGTTGCTCCACCGTTTTATCCAGAAATTGTTTACAGTCTTTGATATTATGAGTGTTCTTACATAAGAGACAGTTATCTGTATTTTTAGTTTCATAATCTTTTAGCGTCATTACAGATTGTTTTCTAGAACATTTGTTTCTTTGGAAAGGATTACAAGTAGCAGCTAATACACCTATTTCTGCTTCATACCATTCTGTAAAATCTGCCAACGACGTAGATTTACCATTAATATCAGACTCATATTTAAATTTACCCCAGTTGTATTTCTGCATCGGGGGTAGTTTCTCAACTAAATTCTGTAGCATTTCTGGGTTAAACAAATACTCTGGGACTTTAGTGTTTCTAATAGTAATGACAATATTATTTAAAGCATTTAAAAAGGCAATAAAACTCTCAATGTTTTCTTCCTTTAATACATTAAATTTTCTAACTTTATCCATTAATGAGAGGATTATCCAATCTGATCTTCCAAAATTGGTTTCCAGTATTTTTATAATTTTCGGGACATTTTCAGGCATAGTCAACAAGGCTTTCACTGTTTCTCTGGCTTTATCTTTTAATGAACGATCTAATCTTATCAAATTATCATATTCAGTGAGTCTGTATTGCTCAGTAGATCTTTTAAACTCATTGATAAAGATGAGCCACTCAGTAATGTCACCAGAAAAATGAATCAATTCACGCATTTTTTGTTGTATTAACAGGGTATTTGTGTTGGTAGAATTTTGAACGCATCTATTTCCTCTTGCAACGAAACCTGAAGTGCCTTATACAGGTGAATTTTTTATATCTACACTTTCCACCCATTTATTTAGATAATCAGAGTCTTCGTATAAATTTACCTCCTGACTAACTGATTCAATCTCATCTTCACTGTCAATTTCTTGGGTTAATAACTGTTGTTCAACCTCAATAATCTTTAATCTGGTATCACGTCGCTTTTCAAGAAGTTTATGTTCCTCTTCTTCAAATTGCTTTTGCTGTTGCAATTTTTTTAACTCGAGGTTTAACCTTATAACTTCTGACTTCGTAGACTTTTTTGAATTACCATCTATTGATTTAGCAATACTTGAGTTTGCTCTCTGTCTTTCAGGAACAAAATTTATTCTCTCCGACCTTTGAACACGTTCTTTCTCGGCGAGATTGATGGCTGTCAAACTATTTGAGTTTTGATTTAACTGCTTTCCCAAATGAGGAGTACTTTTAACTCTGGTACTCTCCATTGCAATAAATTCAACCTCAGGAATGACTTTTTCGCCCGGCACCCGCTTAGAACTTAACTCTTTTAGTCGCTCACTTCGGCGAAGGTCGGTACCTTGCAGCGTTTTTTTCCAATTGGAATGTCTTCCATAGCGCTTTCAGTAGCTCGAAAGGACCAAACACTGTACGGGAAATAATCTGGCCGTACAGGAAATACCAATTATGTATATAAAAGACTTTTATACGACTTGACTTTTATTAACTGACTTGCTCAATCTATATCCCAGGTGACAACAACAACAACTACTACTACTAAATAACAAGTGTATAAAACTTAACAGCCCTCAACTTTTGAGTCTCACTTAAATGCTGCGGCATATTTGAAAATATACTTGACTATAATTGTTGTTAAGAGCGGTCAAATTTGAATGCGATGAACGATGCAAGATCTAAATCATAACATTAAATTTTGTCCTACTCATTTCTGTTTCGTAAACTGTACGGTTTACTAAAAATAAACTAAGCTTCAATTTATGTCAGTTCATAAGTTTCTTTAAAATGGTAAAATCCAAGACACTGACAACACTGGATGTCGCTATCGAGTGACGCTTCACATATAAATCAGGAAACCTTAGTTGGTCTGCCACTGATTGTGAAATTAAGATGCGCAGTTTAAGAACTCAGAGCTCATTTCATATTTTGTAGACTGTAAATTTTCCTTTTCAATATTTTATTTCATATTGTTATGGGGACCATTTTCGATCAGTCTGGTCCTGCTGTACTCCCTTAAGTCCATATTTGTCTTATTTAAGTCTTTTCTGTCCTCAAATTTTCCCGTTACCAAGGCTATTGGGTAGAATAAGTCAAACTCCGAAAGCTTCATGATATGCCCATGGTCACCGCCAGTGGACGTGAACAATCACATTTTAGAATATAATGGACTCGTTGATAAATCATGATGAAACTTCTAGAAATAACAATTATGGTGGATCCATCGGTATAGCACGTTCTGGCGGAGATACATTCTTAGTCGAAAGAGATTTGAAACATTCGAGATCGCCACATGTATACATATATAAATAGCCTAAGTTTGCCGTTAGAGTTCAGTTATAGTTAAGATCGTCACCCTGCAGCTGCGAATTAGGTAAATATCTGTTTTACAATTGTTCAGATTTTCTTTCAAATTCGGATCTTTTTCTTGTAAAAACTCCAACACGGATTCAGAAATAGCTGAAAATCTTGCTAAGCAGGAGCCTCTTGATAGCCAGCGGACTTTAGTGCGCAGAAGTAACCGAGTAAAGATTTCTTAGTTTTCCTCACATAGCTGAGCAAATAACCGAGAGTTAAAAGAATTGCTTGAAATCTTGTTGACAACATTTATAATATATTGTTAAGACTGGTGCAATCTAGGACTCAGTTTTTTTTGCTACTAAATGCTGTCTGTGAATCACACAGTTAACGACTAGTAGCCCGGGCAGTTGTCGCTTTAAGTGAGCTATAAAACCATAAATGGTGCACCATCAGTCGCAACAGAAATAATTTTCTTCCATAGAATAGCTTTGTCGGTAAAAAAAACATATTCTACTGCCTGACAAATCGATTCTCTTCTGGTATCAGTTTCTAAATATGTAGCAAAAAGCAGTTCTTGGCACATATTTTCATCTTTAATATATCGAACATATCCTAACATCAGGGCTTCATTGCCGGGTAATGTTGACTCGTCCAACTGGAAGGAGAATCTGTTGGTCTGTAAGAAGTTGCATCTCGTCTATTCGTCTCTGAACGATGTTATTGCTCAAAGGAGTTCTCTTTATAATATCATGTGCGGGCTTGTGCAATACATTGTTGAGGACCTCCGCAATGGCTGGTAAAATAAACTGATCTCCAATTGTGTGGTGTTTCCCTGACTTCGCTATTAGTAAAAATATATTATATGACGCTCGTAAACCATCAACATCTTGCATAGATAATGATGCAAACACCAATCTTGCAATAATGACAAGGGCTTACTTTTTTTGTCAGCATGTACTATTGATAACTGGTCTTCCATTTTTGAAGGCTTCACAGCATCGTTACTGAATACTATTTCACATATAAGACACATCGGCAAGTGTAAATTTGATAGAGATGGAATAAATACAAACTTCAAGTAGTCCAAACTGTATTGTCTGCATTTTTTTTCGTGTCTGCCATCATAAAGCTCGCAGTAAACCTGCAAATAAAAATATATGCTTAAGAAATTACTTAAAAAAACAATAATAAAACTGTTAAAACTTGGATATAGAGTCACTGTAGTATAGACAATTTGCATTAGGTGCCAATCAGTGTAAAAAACGAAAACAGAGAAAACTGATAATTTATAATTTTAGGTAACAATTTTTCTAAAGTAATTTCAATACTTAGAAAAATATTAAAACGTTTTTTGGTACTTTCCCTGTTACTTTTTCATAAACTGCAGAAAATAAATGGTTACGCTATTAATGCGCGTAGGTACTAAGCACTTTTTTAATTCTTTTTATTTTATTTTAATTCACTTTATTTAACTATGTAATTACTTTGTAATCTCTTGAAATCAATTAACAGATAAGAGTAACGAATTTCAAAACGCAAATGAACTTTCAACCTAAGTGCAAGCTTGTTATATAGTAAAATATCAGGAACGTGTTTGAAATTGAACTTGATCATGATTTCGTTCGTGTTAAACCGCGTATAAGCGTAAAATACAGAGCAAGTCAAAACTTGTCTGAAAGACTTGTACGCTTGAATTCATTATCTTGCACGAACTTGTATACGCTCATTGACTTGTTGAGTTTTTCATCTTGTATGAACTTGTGCACGATTATTGACTTGTTGAGTTAAAAGTACAATAATGATGCTTCCTACTAAAATTCTTGTAATAACTTATACATAATCTTGAATGTTTAAAATAAGATAACGCGTGTTAATTAATAGGGGTCGATTTTTAGACCTCATCTGACCCCGAAATCAGTTTTCGTTTATGTCTACCCCTGGGAGACCGATTTCGACCGGTATCGACCACTTTGGAAATTCCTGGACTATATACTCGTATACTTCTGACTGTTTTTTAATTTATTTTTTTTCTACACCCGTATTATAATAATGCACTGATATGCTCATAATCCGTTTCATAATGATATCTATTATGATACAGATTTTTCATAACGATACAGTTTTTTAATCAATAGAAACCCATCATTTTTCAACCAAGCATGCTGTACATTTGACGTTTGTCCTAGATTCCTATGTAATTGTTTTAGTTGTCAAAATCAGTACGTATTAAATTTTCGTAGACAATTATATTATCAAAATGTCTGATATCAGCAATATAGAAGACTTAACGTCGACTCCTCCACACATATCGGAGAAAGCAGAAACTTTCAATAATTTTTTCGTAATACAACATCTGAACGAAAATGGACCTATTCGGTTTTCGTCGACTATCTCCGGATCTAGTTGAAAAATCTAAAACTTTTATGGATTATTGTCAACATATAAAACTTTTTCCCCATTTAACAAATATTATACATCTTGCGATTTACGAGATCTTTGTAGACACAAAAAATCGCTAATACTTAATATTTTTTTTAGACAATCTGGACAACCCGTTATACAAGAAACAACTGAGCTTCAGAGACAAGCAGTACCAGGCCCGTCCGCCGATGCCCCTGCCGCAGCCAAGAAATTGGAAGAAAAAGAAGATCAGAAGGGAGCACGAGGGGAAGCACCAAATTTGTTAGCGGTATAAATGTATACATCCTGACATAATTATGTCGTAGCCTCATAGTAAAATTCGTATTTTCATGAAGATCCTAGTCGTATTACGAAGCGTAGGCATATCGGGTAAAATTATGAAGCTACACAATCTGCCAAGGCATTTCATGAAGAGCCCGTAGAATTTCGGAAAATTGTGTGTAACACAACCTGCCTAAATTAAAATATTGCGGTGTCATGAAATGCCTAAAAAGGCAAGGCATATTGTGTTTAAATGACTCTTCCAGGCTTGTTACCGAGACATTGGATTATATAGGGCGGGTCAGTATTAAACAAAGATACTGTGATGTTTGTTTATTTATTAATAATTTATTTAAACACTTATTTATTTTATAACACTACTATTTTAATTTATATATATTTCGAATGTCTTTGAATCGTTCACTATTTATATTCACCACTGTCTATCTACTAATTACTATTTATCTTCACTGTCCATATAATAACTAACTGTCGCTTGGTACTCCACCAATATTTATATACAAATTTAAAAAAAATTGGCGTATGTGCTAGAAAGTTCACCATTCTCACCAATACACTAGAAACATTATCCCGTCCTTTGTCGAATAGTCATTGAAAGCACCTCCGCCATAGTCGTCCCATAGGTTTGGTCTTAAGGGGTTTAATTATGTATAATAATCGGACAAGTTGAGCTTCAAAGGCCAAATAAGACAGAGAGGGACTTGGAGGGTTAGAGCATGACTGAATAATGAAATGGCTCACATAACAATACAAAAAATGTTGTAGCCTGAATCAATACTTTCACACCACCCTAGAGCTTATAGTTTAGATTTATGGTAGACACACAGATACAGTTTTTGGTAATTTTAGAGCCAGTCTGACAGTTTTAGGCTAAAAAAATATATTTTTTACGTATACAGTTACAATACCCTCACCTTGTGTTATGTGGAAGTAATAGAATAAACAATAAATATTGAATGGCTTTGTATTAGGAATTTCACGATCAATATCCGGCAACTGGAATGGCCAGGCGCGTGAAACAAATTTAAACTAATTCTAAAGTTTATAGTAAATCTAGTGTTTTAGTAAATTTTAAATGATTCATAACATAACCTCAAACAATTGTTTATGCCTTATCTAACTGCAGGAGTGCATTTCCCAGACAGCACACGACATCTTAAAGACGTCTGTTTTATGTCGTAGTTATGACTGAACGCCTAAAGACCTAAAAAAGACGTTGTAAAGACGTCTTTATAAAGACGTCTTTTAGGACACATAAACAGACGTCTTAAAGACGTCTTTTGAATGCCTATTTAAAAAATATAAAAAATATAAAAAATATTGGTAACTTTAAAAAAGTACTGGCTTACTTGTCATTTCTAATTTCACAAAATATAAATTTATTTTTAAATTTTTTTTATTAATTTACATAATTTACTTATTTTTTTTTTATTTATTCACGAGCATTTGTTCATTAGAGTAAGTAAATATTTGATAACATAAAAATAATAATAAATATAACTCTAAATAAAATTAACAATTAAAACATAAGACAAATTGAATTACGCGCTCTTTCACCTTGACCGGAACATGGTTCAACGATCGAAGCGAATGTTTTTATTATGCTTTGTCTTTTTTCAACAGTAGAATTTAAATAAGGACGTGTATCTGAATGTGAGTATTATTGGAGTTCCGTGGTTCGTGGCGATCTGAGTTGTCAGTTGTCCTTTCGTTGTCATTTGTCGTTGATATTGAAAATGAACGCCGAGAGGTTAGTTTTTGTTGATTATTCGTTTATTTTGTATTTGTGTCTTGTGCCGTGGATTACTGTGAATTTATATAAGCATAAAAGTTTACTGCATATACTGAGAAACCAAATAGAAGAACCCTTATTAGTGTTTTAAGTACGTCTAGGCGTCTAGAGCTGACTTAGAAGCTTCATCGGATGTAAATATATCTGAATTAAGAGTTGAAAGTACAGGAAGATTGCCATTATTTGACCACCCTTAACCCACACTATCTACTGAAAATCCTAGTAAAGCGAATTTGACAGAGTGAGCTATAATGCATAATATTTTACACAGCGCAGTTAAAATTATTGCAACCCAGACTGGCTCAGAAGAGCATCCGACAGAAGATTAACCGCTAGCGGAGGAAGAATCCAAAAAAAAAATTATTTGTAATATTACTTTTTTTAACGAAATGTTTCAGTGTTTTGTAAATAATAATGTTTATAGAAAATATGTGTTTTATTTTGTATAGAAGAAATTTACAGAAGCTTTTAAAACTAAATCCCAGAGTACGTCTTACCAATGTCGAAAACCAGACATATTCAAGATGTCTTAAGAACGTTACCTTTTGTAACATCAGACGTCTTAAAGATGTCTTTAAGACGTCTGGCCGGCGTCATAAGACGTCTTTTAGACGTCTGTTATGTCTCTGACAGACGTCTTATGGACGTCTTAAAGATGTCTTTGTGCTGTCTGGGTTAGATACCCCGCACGGCGCGTCTAGGTCCTATTCTAATGCATGTGGTCAGACGCGCCGTGCGGGGTTTCTAAACGCCCTCACGCATGTTGTGGTCTTTTTTTCGGATATGACGTAAAATATTTGCAATAGCGTGCAATAAACAACTCGTCTTTATTAGGTTTCTCTATAATATCCACAAATAATAACAAATTTATTATCGGCTTCAGTAAAACCAGTTAAATTAAATACGTTACAAAATCTGATGAGTATAAATCGTTATTGCACAAAGTGCCGATATTTGAATTTAGTCAGATTATGTTACGACATTATATACGCCGAAAGAATGTGGTCTCTTTACGAAAAACCTCTGCAGATTGTGTAGCTTCATATATGATTTTACACAATATGCCGATTTACATGAAAAGAAAAATGTCACTATAAGACTACGACATATACATCATTTAACAATAATTTTTGTATAAAAAAGCTGTTTGTCGGGAGATCGTATAAAATGTCGGGAGAATTCAGTCTAATCCCGTACATCTGGCAGCACTAGGCGTAATACAAAAAAAATAGAGGATATTTTTAGTTGTTCCATCTGATTTACTTTACAGCAAATAACCGATCTATAGGATTAGGTCATTAGGTTGGGTCAATTTTTAAATTTTAAAATGCCTGTGGCAGATAAAGTTGTGGATAGGTCAAAAAGAAATAGGGTATTTTTAATTTTTTTTTATTTTAATATTTTTCTCCCCGCCGAGACACTAAAAAAATAAAAACTAACCAACATGCCTTCTGTACCGCAAAAGGTTTGAATATAACTTATAATAAATCCATAAAAATATTTTCAAATTTGGAATTAGTATAGACTCCCGCCAAGCGATTAATAAAATTATTTAATGCCCTTCTCCTAACACATTAAATTAAGCAGGTAGTAGATTGTTAGTTAACTGTTTACTCTTGTTGAATGCAGTTGTGTACACATTTCATCGAGAAACTGCACAGGTGCACCCCAATCGCCAATTTCATTAAGGATCGGTTTCACCGTTGTATTAAACGGAGATTAAAATGACATTGTTAATGTAAAAATGTCATTTTAAACTTCGTTTAACACAACGGTGGAATCGGTCCTAAGTGGTATAGATTAAGGTTGAATGGAAAAATCCTGCTCAGTAGCAATGCCAAAAGGATCTAAGCGTGTATCTCGGCTATTATTGGTCAGATTTAAACGGAAAAAACGGCATTATGTAGAGAACGTGGTATAGATTAACGTATAGAAAAATCATACGCAATCTGAAAGTCAAAAGGACATAAGTGTGTATCTTGGCTACTATTGGTCATATTCAAATGGAAAAACGGCATTATGTAGAGAATGTGGTATAGATTCACTTTGAAGAGAAAAAATCCTGCGCAATGGTAATGCCAAAAAGACCTAAGCGCGTATCTCGGCTACTATTGGTCAGATTTAAACGAAGAAAAATGTAGAGAACGTGGTATAGATTAACGTTGAATGGAAAAATCCTGCGCAGTAGCAATGCCAAAAGGACCTAAGCGTGTATCTCGGCTATTATTGGTTAGATTTAAACGAGGAAAACGGCATTATGTAGAGAACAGGATATAGAAGAACGTTGAATAGAAAAATCCTGCGCAGTAGCAACGTCAAAAGGGTCTAAGTCTGTATCTCAGCTATTATTGATCAGATTTAAACAGGAAAAACATTCGTTAAAGGGAAAAATCATACATAAAGCCATAAGGACCTAAGTGCATATTTGCTGTTATTGGTCCAATTTGCATGTAACAAACGACGCAGTGAAGGAAACGTTGAATGTAAAAATCAGGTAGAGCGTCAAAGTCAAAAGGGTCTAAGTCTCAGCTATTATTGGTCAGATTCAAACGGGAAAAACGGGGGAGCGGAGGAAATTACATAAAGATTACCGTTAAAGACAAAAATCCTGCGCAGTGACAATATCAAAAGGCCTAACTCTATATCTCTGCTGGTATTGGTGCAATTCAGACGGAAAAAACTAAATCTGTCATATAAATATCCATCATGAATAATGTTTCTGTAGAGAATATGTAGACGATTTGTAGATATCTGTAGACATCTGCAGATGATCTGCCGATAATTCTTTGATATCTGGAGATGATCTGTAGACGATCTGCAGACGATCTGTAGACAATCTGTAGATATGTGTAGAAGATCTGTAGACGATCTGTAGACAATCTGTAGACAATCTGTACATATGTGTAGACGATCTGTAGATATGTGTAGACGATCTGCAGATATCTGTAGATATCTGTAGAATCTGTAGATATCTGTAGATATCTGTAGATATCTGTAGATATCTGTAGATATCTGTAGATATCTGTAGATATCTGTAGATATCTGTAGATATCTGTAGATATATGTAGATATCTGTAGATATCTGTAGATATCTGTAGATATCTGTAGATATCTGTAGATATCTGTAGATATCTGTAGATATCTGTAGATATCTGTAAATACCTGTAGATATCTGTAGATATCTGTAGATATCT